CCCAGGACCCAGGGCAGTAGATTTAAAAGGGCGAGTGTTGTGCCCTGGCTGGTATTGTTCAGCGGTTACAGCACCAGCCCTCGGACCAAAGGGTCTCGGGTTCGGTTCCCAGTCAAGGGCACGACATACCTGGCTGGGTTGCAGGTTCGATCCTCAGCCCTGTCCAGGTGCATGTGGGGGCAACCAATGGATGTGTTTCTTTCACATGGATGTCTCTCTCCTCTCTCTCTGTTTTCTTCTCCTCCCCTCCCCTCCTCTCTCTCTAAAAGTCAATGGATAAAATATCCTCAGGTGAGGATTAACCAAAAAAATAACAATAAAAGGGCGGGTGTTGTGGGAGGCACCCCCCCAGAGACTGGAGCCTGGCTCACCCTGAGTCGTCCTCCTTTCCCATCAGGTGACACACTGTGAGCAGCTGGTTTTCTCAAAGGCCCCCTTCAAAGCCCTCTCGTGGCACCCCACCCCCACCCCCGGCCCCTGGAGGAGTCACCAAGCTCCTTCTACAGCCACAGCCTGAAACTCACAGAATCACCTGTGTCAGCCCCACCGGTGGGTCTGGTTCACAGTGCGATGTCAATGGGCCCCGTGGGATCACATTCTCTGGGGGCTGAGAAAGGAACGTCCCAAACCCAAGCCGAGTGGAACACTGTGGTCTGGTGGGAAGAGCTGCTCCTCCCAGAAGGACGTGGCATTCCTGATAGAGCCCGTGAGCGACCTTCCGCTGCGCTGTCGCTGGGGCCTTTCCGGGAACCTTGCCAGCCTCCCAAGGACCTTTAACCAGTCCTCGGAGGTTTCCGATCATCCTTAGCCAGACAGTCTTCTTTGTTCTTTCGTTTCCTGTCTAACAATGATTATCTAGATTCAATAGAAATATCATGAGAGCCACACTTCTCATTTCACATTTTCTAGTGGCCACATTTTTTCAAAGGTAAAATGAAACAGGTGAAAACTAATGTCAATAATATATTTTATTTCACTCGATATATCCAAAATACTATCCTTTCATTATTCAATCAATGTAAAAGCTACGAAAGTGAGGGTCTACGTGTTTAGCACATTATGTCTTCACACTCTGGTGTGTGTTTTACATGACAGCACAGCTTGCTCAGACCAGCCCCAGTTCAAGCGCCCAGTGGCCGCGTGTGACTGTGGCTGCCATACTTGCCAGCAGACATCTAAACACTCATATTTTTTCCTTTAAAAATGTCTCTGCCAAGAAGGAAGTCTTTGAATTAGGTGGGGGTTTTTTTCTCATTTTTCTTCTCCCTTGCAGCAAATTTGAAACAAATTATATAGGATTGACTTCAGAGAGGAAGGGAGAGGGAGAGAGAGATAGAAACATCAATGATGAGAGAGAATCATTGGTTGGCTGCCTCCTGCAAGCCCCACACTGGGGATCAAGCCCACAACCCAGGCATGTGCCCTGATTGGGAATTGAACCGTGATCTCCTAGTCCATGGTCAGCAAACTGCGGCTCTCGAGCCACATTCGGCTCTTTGGCACCTTGAGTGTGGCTCTTCCTAAGCCTTAGAAGTACCCTAATTAAGTTAATAACAATGTACCTACCTATATAGTTTAAGTTTAAAAAATTTGGCTCTCAAAAGAAATTTCAATCGTTGTACTGTTGATATTTGGCTCTGTTAACTAATGAGTTTGCCGACCACTGTACCTAGGTCAATGCTCAACCCCTGAGCCACACCAGCTGGGCTAAAACAAAACTTTGACATGTGTTTGTAATCAATGTGTCTGAAAAGTTGCTTTACCAAGGGGGTGGAGGGGAGATCAGAAATCTGCATTTTAACAACTGTTCAGATGGTTCTTGGGCACACTTCAGCTTTCGGGTCACTTTTCTAACTAGTCCACATCGAACTCCAACTTGCAAGTGGCCGTTTCTTCCCCAGCTGTCTCTAGGGAGACCTATTAGCCAAATTCTTTCACACCCCGGAGGCCAGCGACTGATAGAGCCCCTGAGTGCATTGCTTCTCCTGGGTATTGACCTCAACACAGGGGTAACAAGTACCTATACCCCGACTCTCAGTCCTGCCGCATGCCCCAAATATAGAGGCTTGAAGTGTGTGCCTTGTATGCGGAGAGGCTCAGCAAATGGTGGCTGTGGTTTTTAGGAAGGCTGCTACCATTTAATAGTTATGTGATTTGGTCGTGTTACTCGACCTCAGGTCTTCATCTACAAACAAGGGGATAATGATGTTCCCGCTTCTTAGAGTTTGGACCCATTAGATAAAGCCCACAGGACCACGGGCATCTCACCAAAGGAATCAGGAGGGATTTTCACAAGGTAGGGCTTCTGCTGAATGATTTGGGGAAGGCACGAGGTGGGGAGCGGCGGGGGTGGAGGGGGTGGCGGGGAGGAGCTCGGGATTGAGTGTCGTCATGAAGTAAGGACAGTTTGGCAGCTGTGTTTCTCAGGAATCTTTGTTCACGAGGTAGGAATGAGGCTGTCATGGGTAAGAAAACAGTAAGGACTCAAAAGGAAAGGGTGGTGCGGCCATGGCCACAGTCTCTTACACACGTTGTTTCAGGTTCTGTTAGAAACTCTAAGTCTGACTCCCACCAGGGCTAGGAGGTGAACTCAGAACCTTGCGTCCTTACTATAAAGTTAAGCTGAGTGTGGAATGCTGCATCCCAAGCCCCTTTCCCAAGCCCTGCGCCTAGGCTGGCAATTAAACCTGCTCTGTCATGGTGAGCAGTGTGGTTCAGAACCTCAGGCACAAATGGGAGGTCCATTCTCATGGAAAAGACTTCAGGTAGCAGACTTTCTCACAGTCCATGGTTTTAGAAAACCCTTCTGGCCCTTTCATTGATGTTACATTGCCCAATTGGGTTTTGTGGTTCGTGGTGTAGAGTGTTCAGTGAGATAATATATGCAAAGTGCCTAGTGCATAATAAGGTCCCAATAAGTGGCAGCTGCTCTTATTAGTGACTAGAGGCCCAGTGCATGGGATTCGTGCACCAGTAGGAGGTGTGGCCTGCGGGGATCACCCCGCTGTGGGAACACTGCTCATCCAGGTCAGCCAAGCGGCACTCCCACTGTGGTAGCGCACTGACCACCAGGGGGCAGCTCCTGCATCGAGTATCTATCCCTGGTGGTCAGTGCGCGTCATAGCGACTGGTTGACTGGTCGTTCTGGTTGTTCCACCCTTTGGTCACTGGGCTCTTATTATATAGGATTATTCATATTAGCGTTAGTGTTATTCACCGAGGTTTGCTGTAACAGCATTCCTCCCCCTGCTCCATGGCTGCTGCCAGTTCCAAGTTGGACCGTGTTGAATTTAAACCTCAGCCCTCACCAGGCTGCTCCTTAAAGAAGCAGCACAAGCCCCTGGCCCAGGAGTCCCATGTCCTCACACTGCCAGACCGAGCTTCTCTCTTACCCAGCACCCTGCCTTCCTCGCCAAAGGGTTCTGGCCCTGCTCCCTCCAGCTTCACTCTGGACTTGGCTTTGTTTTTCATGGACATGCTACCTAAAGCTCCTCGGGGAAGAGAACCTAATTCTATCAGGAGTCAACTACCTACTGCAACCCTGCTGCTCCAGATCAGGGCTACCTGCCCAAAGTGGCACTTCACACACACACACACACACACACACACGCACGCACACACACACATACACACATGTGCACACACCTATCCACAAACACACAAATATACATAAACACACACACACATATACAATGGAGATACATGCACACACATACATGTATGCACATGATCAGATACACATACATGTATGTACACTCATGAATGTGTGTGCACATAAACATGCACACATATACATATGCTCGCGTGCACATGCATACACACATATGCACACACACATGCACACGTATACCCACACACAATGCCAAAAGACTCCCCAGGTGCTGTGGGGTGTTTTGTTGCCCTGATAGGACCTCCCCACCCTTTCGCACCTGAGGAAGCTGCTTCCAGTCCTCCTCCCGCAGAGCCTGTTTCCATCAGACTGGTTTTTCCAGCTCCCACGGCAGCTTTAGGGGCACCTCTTGCTTTAAAACACAATTGCTTTTAAACAAATGGTTTATTTTTCTACCTTCATCTCATAGGGGGAAAGTAAACAGAGATAACAAGAAGAATCCAAATACCACCATAAGCAGACCCTGTACACCACCACCATGCGGGCATCTCCAGGCCTCCTTCCTGTGCACATGCGCTTTTGTCAAAACCAAAGTCAGGATCGCCCCGCTGGCAGTATTACCACCTTTTTCTCACTTAGCAAAATATACCCCAAACATATCGGTCAAATAGATTTCGAGGCCATGACTTGAAGCGCCTGCTTATCAGTTATGAATTCAATTAGCAGTGTTACTGAAGCCCGGCGGCCTTTTCTCTTTGCGATGTTTCTTCAACACCAGGAACACAACACCGAGGGCGTGAATCGCGGGCTGTAAGCGTTGAGAAGCGTGTGAGACAGCTGCGCTCTCCCTGCCCGGGCGGAGCCTACCTCGCCCCTCCCTCTGAGCAGGGCAGCTCTTTTTGAAAGAAGCCAGCAGAACAGGCCACGATGCCCAGTGCTCCGCCCGCGGTTGCGCGAAGGTAGCTGTGCTTGCTCTGCGGCTCCCAGTGTCTGCAGCTGCAGGGCAGCAGGAGCGGGACCGGCTGCACTGACACTCTCCTGCGCAGACTGCCTTCGACCCTAAGCCTGCAGCAGCCTTCCCTGCCAGTGAATAGAGTTGCAACCCCTCGTCTAAAAAAGTATACAAAATGGATAGAATATTGGCGACTGTTGAAGCTTTGTCGAACTCCTTCCTTAATTTTGAGCCTGTCTGAAGTTTCCCAGGCAGGCTTTTAATGGGTTCTAGCTTGCCCTCACATTCCAGCTGTGCTGTTCCGCGACCACACCCCGGGGCTGGGAGGCTAATGAATACTAGGCTCAGTGCGATGAGTAGCCAGCTTGGAGCGAAGACGAATGAGGACATGTAGGGCAGGCGGCCCGCACTTACAAAGCGATTGTGGGGTGAGGAGGGGGAGGGGGAGGTGGACGGAGCCGGCTGCTCTGCGCAGCCTTCGGGGCCTCTCCTGGGGGAGCCGCAGGTGCTCGCTTGCTCCTGCCTCTGGCTCAGGCGTCGGGTGCCACCGCCTGTCATTACACCTGGACCCTCTGGGAGGAGCTGCCCTCTGTACCCACGGGAGGCAGGCCGCGTGTGGGTGGCCGGAGGGTGCACAGTGACGCGGACGGGGTGGAAAAGATTTCCCCAGGGGGCATTTTCCACTTGCTCCTGCCTAAGGCACCCTTCGCCCACCCCAAGTGTATGCTTAATGCGCCACCCGGTGGCTGTATTGCATTGATGCAGTCTCTCTCACGGGGAAATGACATAAGGTCACAGATGTCTGTGAATTTCTAAAACATTAGACTCAAGTCCCTGAGAGCGCGTGGTTGCAGAGTAACCCAGAGGTGCAGTGAGGGGAGCTTGCAGATGAGACCTGGGGCTGAAGGAGGACCCGGCAGTGAGTTAAGCAAACCTGCAACCTGTGCCGGTTGTGACCCACTGAACTGGAGCAGGACAGGCCAGCAAAGGTGAGACAAACACAAACACACACACAAACAAACAAGGATGGATCATGTACACAGAGAACTAAAACCTCTGCCTACTGGCTTTTTAAGGGTTGTTGTTTCTCTCTCTCTCTTTCTTTTGCTTGCACAGTATTTTAAAACCAAAATAATAAATTTCTAATATCTGGTATAAAATCAAAGTTATCGTGGCTAACAATTAAAACCTAAAAACTTGGCCTGACCGGCATGCCTCAGTGGTTGAGCACTGAACCATGAGCCAGGAGGTCGAGTTCGATTCCACGTTAGGGCACATGCCCGGGTTGCGGGCTCGGTCCCCAGTGTGGGACATGCAGGAGGCAGCCGATCAATGATTCTCTCTCATCATTGATGTTTCTATCTCTCTCTCTCCCTCGCCCTTCCTCTCTGAAATAAAAAACAAATACATTTTTAAAATTAATTTATTAATTAATTAAAACCTAAAAAGATGAGCTACATTAGTAATCGAATGTCCTTCAACTGGTGAATGAATAAACCAATGATATATCCATTCAGTGGATACTATTTAGTGATTTAAAAATGACTTACTGATCTGAGTAACAACATGGATGAAAATCAAATGCATTATGCTAAGTAAAGGAAGCCAGACTCAAAAGCTACATAATGGGTGATACTAGAAACCCAGTGCATGAATTCATGCACGAGTGGGTTCCCTCGGGATGGCCTGTGGGGATCAGGCCCCAGCTTGTGCCCCCAGCCTCACAGCCCCACAGTCCCACCTGACACCCCGCTGTGGCCTGGTGCCATCCCCTCACCTGCTCCACCATCCCACCTGCAGGGCGATCAATCCAGGCCAGGCCCCCACTCAGCTCCCTCAGAGCCTGGGAGCCAGGCAGCGGCCCTGCCCACGCCCGCCCCACCCCTGATGCTGCCTCTGGTTGCCGTCTGCAGGGCAATTGGTGGGACGATCATCGGGCCTCCTGTTCGCACCCACCTTGGCCTGGCACCACCTGCTCACCTGCTCCACCATCCTGCAGCGGTTCCACTCTCGTCGCAGCCCATCAGGGCCAGCAGTGCCTCCACTGTTGCCCGCTGCCAGCGCTGCATTGCCGACACCTGCGATGTTCCAAGCCACCCCCCTGATGGTTAGTGCATGTCCTAGCGAGCGGTCAAACTCCAGTCAAACTTCCAGTAGAACTCCCAAGAGGACAATTTGCATATAAGGCTTTTATTATATAGGGTGACATTCTGTAAAATGCAAAACTATAAAGACAGAAAAAGACCAGTGGTTGTCAGGGGCTGGCTTTGAGGAGGGGTTGGCTACAGGAATACAAAGGAGTTGGGGGCGGGGGTGGTGATGAAATGGTTGATCATGGTCTTGGCTACATGATTATATGTGTCAAAACTAAAAACCTCAAAGGGTGAATTTTACTATATGTAAATTACATGTTAATAAACCTGACCAAACTAGTGAAACAGATAAACTCTGGTAGGAGTGATAAAGAAAAAAGAGAAAGTCACACAAGTAAAGAACTTTAAAGCTTGAGAAATATAAAAGAAGATAAGATTCAATTTTTAAAAAATCAAAACAATATCTTGAACCACTTTATACAAATGAATTTGAAAAATATATTAAAATAGATAACTTTATAGAAAAAAATCATTGAAATTATCTCAATAAAATGAAAAAAACTAACTAAATCAATAATCATTCAGGAAGTTTCACTGGTAATCAAAAGTCTCTCCCACCAAAAGACACCAAAATTCTATCGATATTCAGTAGCAAAATACACTACATAGCTGCAGAAAAGCACTTGCTAAAATCAGACACTGGTTCATTGTTAACAACAGTCAGCAAACTAGAAATTAAAAGACAGTTTCTTAACCACATTGATGCCCACAGTCAAAGACTGTGAGGGACACGGCTATAGTCACACAGATCCTGTTCCCTGGTACTTGTTGCCACAAGCGAGATTACACACCTTGGAGAGAAGATGCGACCAGGGGCTTGTGTTAAGTATCTGGGGAAGTCTCAAGGCAGCATGGTTTTATCCTAGCTGCTGCCAGAATGTGAGGGAAGTTCTGTGATTCGATCTTTTTATTTTTATCCAGGAGCCTGCTGGTCTCCCTGGCCCCTGCCTGCTGCACAGCCTGCACCTTTAAAACCTCCCGGGACCATAGTCAAAGCCATGGGAATGGCCCCCAAAGCCACTCATCAGAGTCAGAGTCTCCAGGGCGTCCCTGGCCCTTGGCAGCACCTCCCCACCCATATACCCTTTTGAAACCACACTGAACTCCCCAACATCGAAGCCCCTTTCACAGGCCCAGGCCCACGTTCACACTTTTAGCTCAGCCTGGAAAGCCCTCCCCCTTGCCATCCCCGTGCTGCCTGGCAAACTCCAGCTGCTACAGACCCCGCTCCAATGTCACTTGCTCTAGCACAGGCTCCAGCCAACTGCCCTTTCCCTGTGTCATCTCCCTCCTCGGCGTTCCTGCAGCTTTGTTTCCTCTCCCCTGCCCTTCCTGCGTCCTTCCTCCCTGCTGAAATGAAATGCCGAGTCTCTGGGCTGCCTTGCTGGGTGCTGAGGAGTCCAGGGTGAACAGGAGGCCACACATCAGGGACAGAACTATTAAGGTGCCGCGCGTGAGAACCTCAAGGACAGACCAGCGTCATGAATTCAGCCCCGCAGGCCCAGCCCAGCACAGGCCTGGCACTTTGCCGGTGCTCGGGGCACATCTGTGAGATGAAAGGAATCTGTTGTGTGTCCCCCCCCGACAAGTTGTAACCCCCAGTACCTGTGGGTGTGACCTCACTTGGAACCAGGTCTTTGCAGATGTAATCAAGTTAAGGCGAGGTCGTCCTGGATTGGACAGATCTTAACCTGGTAACTGGTGTCCTCGTAAGTGGAGGGAAATTTGGACACAGACACACATGGAAGACACCATGGCAGACGGAGGCAGAGATTGGACTGATGCGTATAAGCCAACAAGCGACTGTGGCCACCAGAGGCGGCCCCCACTGACACCTTAATTTGGACTTGTAGCCTCCAGAACTGTGAGAGAACGACTTTCTAGGGCTTTGAGCCACCTAGTTAGTGGGCAATTTGTTACGGCAACCCTAGAAACGAATACAGTGTCCAAGGCTCATTGATTCCTGGGTCACATTTCTACCAGACCCCAACCCAGGGGGCGGAAGCTGCCCAAAACTCCACTGCAGGCCGCTCTCAACTTTCCCTTCCTTCCCACCGCCTGGCCTGAGCCTCCCCTTCCCTGACCAGCAGAGGACCACGCCTCCTCCGACACTAGGCGGCGCCAGCAGGCCGCGCCATCCTGCTCCGTGGGCTCCAGCGTTGGCAAAAGGGACTGAGCATGGAGAGTCACCCATAGGCCGAGCTCCCAAATCCAGGAACTGCTTTAAGATCTCAGTGAAGTGGTTTTGTCTGTCTGAGAGAGGAAATCGGATTCTCTCCCCTGCAGACTGTCCTGCCTCCAATCTCTGTTCACCCTTGGCAGCCTCAGAGCTTGAGCTGCTGGGGAAGAAGTCAGAGGCCCATGACGGCCTCCCAGGTTCAGCCCGCACAGGCTGGCTGTGCTTTGGGCCGTCCCCCGTTCCCCTTCGGAGCGCTCTGCCCTGGAAGCCCAGCCATTCTACTTTCACAGCAGATGCGATTCCCAGAAACAGGCTTTGGTGCTCCCATTGGTCAGTGTGCTGGGCCCTCAGTCCCACACTCCTCCCTGATTCTTTAGCTTCTTTTCAAATTGCAATGAATAACTGGTACACACAGGACACTTCACACCTAAGCAAGGACATCTGTAAGAAAGGCATTTCTAATTTTGGCAGGTCTTAATACAATTATATATTAGGCTGAAATTGCCTATATGTGACCTTTTTTATTAACCTGCAAAAAATGGCCATTTCATGTGATTCATAGTTTTGTATGTTGGTACTTTTGTTCCTATAGGTCTCCAGCCTAAAAAGTCCTCCGGTTCCTACTTCTCACCCACAGCTCCTTCTTCACTCACTTCCCAAGTCATGCTGGCACTCACTGGAGCTTTTCTTTTTGTAAAATTCTGCCTTAAGTTTTAGGCAGAAGTTTAATCTCCTGCATACTCACTGAGGGCAAAGACTGAGTCTTATCTGTGGCTGTGCCCTGGACCTAGTACAAGGCTTTGTATAAATCCTAAAAAGAAAAACTGTGGTCTTGTTGAATGAATTTGCAAATGAATGAGTGAAGAAGCGATTGCAGTGCGAGAAGGAGTGGTCATCCCACAGAGAGGCTATGGCACCAAAAGTTTCTACATCTCCTTGGAGCATAGAGGCTTAAGGGTCTCACGAGACCACCCAGAAGCCACAGCAGCCCCTGTGCTTAGTGTGTTTGGGTTGTGCCTTCACACACACACACACACACACACACACACACACACACACACACACAGATGTTCAGCCCCAGCCAGCAGGCTCGACCTGCAAACAGGCCGTCTCTGCTGGGGAAGCCCACACTTGCTAAACCCTCTGTGCTGCCTGCCAAGTTGAGAATCATTTCCTGCCCGGGTCTCAGACAGTTCACGCTGCCCCAGATGGTCTGCTCAGGAAAATTCCCATGTTGTGAAATTTCCTTCTCTGGGGGCCCTGGGTGTCATGGGAAATAGGAAATGCTGGACAGCTATTCACCTCTTGGTGTGGGATGGGACCGTCCCCAAGCCCTGCAAAGCCTGCAATGCTACTCCACCAGGGAGCTTGGAGGAGGGACCAGGGCTGCCCTGGGAATGTGCCACCTCTTGCCCCAGGTTCAGATTAATTCCTTGCCTCAGGAACTTAAAATGACATTATATTATATGTCAAAACTGTGATCCCCCTCTAAATTAAATAAGCCATGTGTTTTATATATTCCACTAGGGGCCCGGTGCACGAAATTCGTGCACTGGGTGTGTGTGTGTGGGGGGGGGTGTCCCTCAGCCCAGCCTGCCCCCTCTCACATACTGGGAGCCCTCAGGCGTTGACCCCCATCACCCTCCAATCGCAGGATCGGCCCCTTGCCCAGGCCTGACGCCTCTGACAGAGGTGTCAGGCCTGGGCAGGGGACCCTCATTTCCCCCCATCACTGGTTCTGCCCCCAGCCCAGGCCTGATGCCTCGGCCAGAGGTGTAGACCCCCATCACCCTCTGATCGCCTGATCGGCCCCTTGCCCAGGCCTGACGCCTCCGCCAGAGGTGTCAGGCTTGGACTGGGGACCCCCATCTCCCCCCAATCACTGGCTCTGGCCCCCGCCCAGGCCTGAGGCCTCTGGCCCAGGAATCATGCCTGGGCAGGGGACCCCCATCTCCCTCTGATCGCTTGCTCCACCCCCCGCCCAAGCCTGACACCTCTGACCCAGGCTTCAGGCCTGGGCAAGGGGACCATCATATCCCCCCAATCCCTGGCTCCGCCCCCCACCCAGGCCTGATGCCTCTGGCCCAGGCATCAGGCCTGGGCAAGGGGACCATCATATCCCCCCAATCCCTGGCTCCGCCCCCCGCCCAGGCCTGATGCCTCGGCCAAAGGAGTTGACCCTCATCACCCTCCGATCACCAATCACCGGATCGGCCCCTTGACCAGGCCTGAGGCCTCCGGCAGAGGTGTCAGGCCTGGGCAGGGGACTCCCAGCTCCCCGCGATCTCCCGCTCTGCCCTTGCCCAGGCCTAACGCCTCTGGCCTAGGCGTCCGGCCCGGACAGCGGGGACCCTGCGATCGTGGGCTCCACTTTAGGCCCAGGCAAGGGACCCCTAGCTCCCGGGACTGCCAGCTTCGACTGTGCCCAGCTCCCATCGCTGGCTCCACCCCTACTTCCTGCTATCACTGGCCAGGGCGGCAAAGGCGCCCGATTCTCCAATCATGGCTGGGGGGCAGGGCAAAGGCAGCCTCAGGGCCGCCTTTGCCCTGCCCCCCACCTCTTAGCTCCCCCCTGGGTTTCCAATCACTGTCAGTGGCAGGGGGCTTCTTCCTGCTTTCCCTTTCGCCTCCCTGCATTGTGCCTACCTATGCAAATTAGCCGCCATCTTTGTTGGTAGTTAACTGCCATCTTAGTTGGCAGTTAATTTGCATATAGCCCTGATTAGCCAATGAAAAGGGTAGCGCCGTACGCCAATTACCATTTTTCTCTTTTATTAGTGTAGATATTCCAATAACCCATATGTAATTCAGAGAGGAAATCACAGTTCGGACTTTTCCTCTCAAACATGGATATCTTGGCCTTCAAACTTGGACAGTTTCCAATGCATTTTTGTTATAAAGAGTTAAGCAAACATATATTTTAAAAATTAATAAAACAAATGTGAATCGAAACAATATCATTTTCTTTCGACTGGTATATTTTTTAAATTGATAATTGCCAATGCTGGTGAGGTTGTGGGGAAATGAACACTGCCAATGAAAATATAATTTGGGATAACTTTCATTGTGGGCAATTTGAGGTATATCAAAAGCCTCTAAAATGTGCATTTCTCTTGATCCAGCAATTTTCTTTCCAGCAATTTATCCTAAGAAAATAATCTAAAATGCTATCAAACCATTGGTCATAAGAGTTAAAAAAAAATGGCAACCTGAAAGTCCAAATTTCCAATATGATAGAAAATTTTGCAGCCTTTAAAGTGATGTAGATCAATGTTTTATGGGCTAATAGACTGTATATTTAAAAAAACCAAAATACTATTAAAAAGGGATCCTTTCAAAGAGGAAAATACAGGCATAGAAAAAAGAACAACATTGCCAGTAGGAGGTGGTGTTATGGATAATTTTAATTTTCTTTCTACTGAGATAAAAAAGAAAGTATTACTTTGGCATATTTAAACATTTTTTAAAAATAATTTTTATTAATTGCAGAGAAGAAGGGAGAGGGAAAGAAAAATAGAAACATTAATGATGAGAATCATCAATCGGCTGCCTCCTGCACACTGGGGATCAAGCCCACAACCCGGGCATGTGCCCTGACCGGGAATTGAACCATGACCTCCTGGTTCATAGGTCAATGCTCAACCACTGAGCACTGTCCGGGCTAAAGGTATTTTTAAATATTCTGAGAAAGACGCTGAGAGCTTGTTACTACTTTTGTTGCTGTCTAGGGGTCTCAACTTTCCAAACTGTGAGATGGGATTCCACAGCAGGGCAGGAATTCCTTCTCTCTCCTCCCATCCACCTTTCTCAACGCTAGGCAACCACTTCGCAGACAGCCCTTCCCCAGCAGCCCTGCAGGTTCTGTGGGCTTTGTTATCGTTGTCCCCACCCACCACCTGCCATCAAAAGACAACAATCCCAGCGTTGACCCCATGTTGACACGTCTCCCTTCCACAGCATTCCTTACCTGATGGGACCTGTTTCTGCCCATTTTCTACCTGAAGCTCGTTGGTTAGAACAGTCTGTAAAGGCAGAAAGGAGGCGGTGAGGCCTTTGAGAGGCAGGCAGCGTCTGATGGGGTAGGGGTGGGAGTCATTTGAGAACTACCTGGGTTTGAATTAAATCCTGGCTCCACCTTGGGCAAGTTAATGCAGGTCTTCATGCCTCGGCTTTTATGTGGCCTGGGGCTGCAGGTGATAATGGCGCCTGCCTTGTTAGTTGCTGTGTGGATTCCACACTATAGGCTTCCAACTGTGCCTGGCACGTGTAAGTGGTTTTTAAGTAGCAGCTATTATCACCGTTTTAAGAATTGGTAAACTGCTCTTCCCTTCACCTTTCTTGCAACGACGGCAATTATGTTGGTGTGGAGCCTCCTGAGAACTGGTGCCACTGAGATTAAGACTAAACTGTTTTCCCACCCAACACTGCGAGGTAGGAAAACCAGTCACCCTGACCGTTACACCCAGAGCACGTGTCAGCACAGCCAAAGTGCCCAGTGCCTCCCTCCACTCACACCCTTACCACCTGCCGTGAGGGCTCCTTGCTGTCAGCCTGCCTCCCTGGCAATGACCTCTTCACCTCTGCGTGCTCCGCCTCTTCACTTTTTAGATCTCCAACATTCCCTCTCCCACACGGGTCTTCCATCTCTCCATCTCAGAGGATTGCTTCTTCCCCCACAGACCTACAGTTCTTCCATGGTCTCCAGGTACGGGAAGCTGCAGCCCCCTGAAGGCTCTCTTCCTAAGACCTGGAGAAAGCTTCCCCACTTCCCCCAAATGCAGAGCTTAGTGAGTCAATCCGCTCCTTAAACCTGTCAAGCACTGCCCCTTGCCCTTAGGATAAAGGGAAGCTTCCCAGGTGGCTGGAGAGGCCCTGCCTCCACCACCTAGCCTCTGCCCTCCCCCTCAGCCCTGCCGTGCAGCAGCACTAGAGTCCTTTTAGTTTCTCAAACTGGCTGTGCTTTCTGCTGCCTTTGCACCCATACACGTAGTGTTTTGCCCCTTAGCCTCGCTCTACTGGCCCTCACATCTCAGCTTAAATGCCAGTTTGTCCAAAAAGAGCTTTGCCTACGCTCCCTTACACTTCCCCGATCACACTGTCATCAGGCACCGTTGTAACTGCCTGCCTTCCCAGCACATTAGAAATCCATGCAGGTCTTGCTCACTGCTCAATCCCAGCATGAAAACGGTAGCTGGCACACTGAGAGCGTTTTTAAAGAGAAAAATGTATTCCCACTTATGTTTGTGGTCTCTCTTCCTTGTGGCATGGACCACCTCCCTGTCCTATCTCCATCTCCTGCAAGGCACCTCTCCCCAGACCTGGTCCTTCATCCCGTCACGAGCTCCTAGCCACACACAATCTTTTCAACCTAGGGTTTCTATAAAAATTTTACGGAAGGATCACATCTCTCACAACTGCCTCGTAAGAACTTTTTTTATTATTTAGAAATGCAGTTATATACATAGAATTAAAATTAAATTAAACTTTGTACAAATATTAAAATACTATCTTCACACCCACTGCAATGTACAGGATACCAAAAAATATATATAAAATAAAGCAAACCCAAACTGACTGACATCCTGCACATAGTCAATGATGCAAGTGTTGTTTTAAACCATTATGTGAGTACCATTCTGCAAGTTTCCATAGTGGTGTGATAAGCCAGGGCAGGGTGTGGTAGGCGGCCACACAATCCTCGTCCATCTCTCCTCCCTGCTTGGCAATCCAAGTGCTCTGCCCCTGCACCCTCTCCAGAGAGCTCTGCTGCCTGGCGCAGGGTTTAACTCTGAGGTTTCATTCAAAATTCTACTAGGTTTTCAACTGGAGATTACGAGTTTTCCAGCAAAGCTGAGCCTGCCAAACAAATTCCCTCTGAGCTCTTCACTGATCATCGGTAATGTCTGTCCCTATGCTGAGCCCCAGGAGGCCCTGAGAGAAGCTCCCAGCCAGCACATCTGGGGTTCAGCTGGAAAGCCTGCATACCACTTCCCTCTGGTCCTTTATTCTCTTTTGGCGGGGGTGGGGTGGGGTGGGGGGGCGGGAAGCAAGGATGTAGAAATGTTTGCAGCATATTCTGCTCTTGATGTAAGCATGTAATCTGGGAATGGAAGTGACATCGTTACGGGGGAAGCAAGTGGTCTGAGCGCTCAGCTGAGACTGGGAGGGAGAGGCTGAGTGCTATTGTCCCTGTGCCACCACTAACGAACGAGGCAGGAAGAAGATACCTTTGTCAGTCTTGCCATTCCACAGAACTTGGGGGGGTGGGGGGTGGAAGGCAAGATGAATGGGGAAGATAACATTAGTTCCAGTTTTATTTGCAAATGGAGTGTTAGAACACACACTGAAATGCCTTATAACCCAAAAGAACTCACAATTGGCCAGGACTCAGCCCATTTCACAGTTCACACTGAGTGAAATGGGAACACAGCACACAAAATACAGAAATGGCAAAAGATAGAGCCTACTTGCTAAACTAAGGCATGGAAAGGGATGGAAATATATGTGATCTTCACCAAAGACTGGCCCTTGTAAGTCACTGGAATATAACTGCAAGTTGCCAGGACATAAAACCTGCATTGAGTTATTAGCTCATGTGTGCAAAAAATACCTTTTCAAATAAAGTCCTTTGGTGCTGACCACTCTCCTGGAGAAGCCCTCTGTGGACTCCCCTAGAGGTGAGCCCAGAAAAGCCAGGCTACGGACAGTTCTCCCACCTGCTCCAGGCTCGTCTGACAGCCTCCTTCCTGGCAGCTATGAAGTCCCTAATCCCCTGCAAGGGACAAAAACCCAGAAGCTCCTGGACAGTAGCAAATGGTTGATGGCAAGAAACTGCTCCAGGCAAAGAGAACGAACAGCTGTCATGGATGCCAGCAGGATGAAGCCTGGTTCCTGCACCCACAGGCCCAGAAGTGGGCCTCATCCATGTCAGTGACAAGGGAGTGAGGGGAGGAAGTGAAGAGGAGAGGTGGGGCCAAAACAGGAGGCTCCCATTTACCCTTCTTTCCTTCCTGCCGGCACACAAGTTTGGGTCTGTGTCCCCAGGACAGGGTTGATGGTGGCTGGCTGGAAGAACGCTGCAGAAGGAAGGCTTTTCATTTTTCCAAGGCCTGAGCCAGTAACCTATGGGGCTGAATAATCCCAAAACAAAAAGTGCAATCTCTTAGGGGAGGGAAAATGCCAGAGTATGCTATAAAAAAAGAGTAAGATCTCTCATTAAAAGAAAAAACTCAGCTAGAATTCAGGTTTTGGATGACTGGGAATAAATCAGCAGGCTCAGCAGACTCCAAATCCCACACCATGTGCCCTGCTTTCTTTTTTGGAGGAAGACAAGGGCACCCCTGCGGGGAAGGAGCCCAGGCACAGGGAGGCAGCTGGGTCATGAGGGACCCACCATCCAGATAGCCCCAGAGCCCATGACTGCTGGCAGGCACTCTTCTGGAAATGGCCTCTTTTGACAGCCCCCTGGTACATTTCATCTCCCTCAAAGGCTCTGACCTCTAGTTCTGGCATCTTTGACAACCTGTTCCATGCCTCACCATGCTGGCCTGGGCTTCAGGCACAGAATTCTCAGGCTCCTGGGTGGGAGAGGGGGAGGAGGAGTGGCTAACAGGCACAGCAGGCACTGCCCTTACCCTGAGAGAAAGGAAAACAAGAGAGACAGAAAGAGGCCAGGAATGAGCGGGTAGTAAAGTGCGTGTGTGAGTGGAGGCAGGAGGCTGAGAGGAGGCCATTTCCCTAATCTTCCAGGCCACCCACTCCTGGAGCTACCCTGCTTGGTCAGGTACTGAAAATATATTGGGCTCTTTATTATTTTACCACCCGAGAGGCTCAGGGAAGGAGCGGAGGGGCAGCATGGGGTGGAGGTTGGGGGGAAGTTCCCCAGCCCCAATGTTTCAGAAACAAAAGTAAATGCCACGTTTTTTAAAGATGGAAGCAGCCTGCCTGAGCTTTGCCACCCAAGCCTTGTCAGCATTCACAACGTGGCTAAGGGAAAGCCGAGAGCCGAGAGCCGGAGAAGCATCTGGAGCACAGAGCCCACTCCTTTAACACCAGGTCCAGGTGCCAGGCTGCTCTGCAACCCTTCACCCACAGGCAGCCCACAAGGGTGTGTGGGGTGAGGACTGCCTCTCAGCCCCTCCCCCTTGCCCAAGAAGACCAGGGAGTCATCTGTCAGCTGTGAGCAGGAAGGGACAGCAGGGGAGGGCAAGAGTAAGAAAAGCAGCAGTGCAGCAAGCAGCAGGACACTTCCTGGACCAGTTACTAAGGCACGTGACTGTGGTGAGGAGGACCCTCAGGACTGGGGCTGGAGCTGCCTGCAGCTGCCTGGGGACTTAGTCTGTGCCTCTCAGGTTCCCCTCCGTCACCACAAACCCAGAACGGGCAACTTGCCCTGTCTGTCAGTGAGCAGATGGGCAGTCCATGGCATCTCAACGAGCTCCTGTCCCAGGTATGATTCCCCTCAGAACTCTGTGGGCAGCAAGGTAGCAGGAGCTGCCGCATAAACCCCAGGTGGCAGCATGCAACTTCCCCTTATACTCCAGAAAAAGAAAAGCGGAGACCGGGAAGCCACGCTGAAGTAGGAGGCGAGAACTTGCCTATTAGGAAGACAACCATTATCAGCCACCTTCCTGCCCTCCCCTGGGATCCCCTGGAAGCTCAACACAGCAGGGCCAGGAGCTGGCACCTCTGAGCTGGACAGCTGGTGCTGGGTCAGCTTCGGCAGATTTTCCACATCCTCCGTCCCCAGCCAAGAAAACGTGCCACCAGTGTCAACCAAGGGCAGGCCCAAGGACCCACACTCTTGCTCCAGTTAGTCCCTCTTGTCTCCCCAGCTCCCACTCTTGGATCTGCTCCTGATAAGCCCTCAAAGGAAACAAGCCAGACCCAGGCCCACCCCTTGTGTGGCAGGGGGCAGCAGTGCAGACACTAAGGCTTGTAGGACAGCAACAGGCCTGCGTGACAGGGAACCTGGACAGGGTGGGGGGAAGGCACAAGTAAACACAGCGGTTCTCTGGCCCATGTGGGCTGGTTGGGGCGGCCACCAAAGAATTGGCTGGAGAGCTCCCAGAGGCCCAGGGAAAGGAAGGGTTCAGTCCGGCACATTCAAACATGTTCCCGACACAGATGGGAAGGCTGGACCAGGCAAAAAGCCAGTTCCTCCAGCTGTCAAGCAGGCAGATGACAAGAATCTTCCTTGAGTTTCCAGCAAGGTGGGCCTGCATGCCCTCAGAGATCCACAGGTGGCAGCTCAGCTAGCCGGGCAGGGTGCTCAAACCCACAGGGAGAGGGAAGAAGGGCAGAGAGGACCATTGCAGAGGAGAGAGGCCGGTGGCAAACCTCATGCTTCTTTCAACAGCGGGATATCTAAGGGAAGAGAAGGAAGCACAGTGGTTACCCCATGTGGGTCTCTGCAGCACACCAGATCCCACTGTAGGGGCCCTTAATTTAAAGAAATAAAACGCACTACTCATACTCCTCTAGGCAGTCTAACTCCCTTCTCCCCCCCCCCCCCCACTTTTTTTTACCACTTTTTGCTCATCTCTCCCCCTGGCTATGTGATAACATCTGAATGTTCAGACTGGTATTCAAACCCCTTCTGATTTCACCAACCTGAACCCTCCTCTGCCTTAACTGCTTGTCTGGTTGCTTCTCTTTCTGTCCTACTCTCGCCCTGTGGATAGTACTGAGCTCTGTTCAAGTCCCCTCTCCTCCTTAATGTCATTGTCCAGCTGTGTGATAGTGAATAACTGACGCCTCAGGTCCTGACTTCCTACGGTGCTGTCAGTCCCAGACAGCTTGGGCATGGCCTGCAACAAACTTGATAACCTATGTGTTGTGTTTTCTGAACCCCTCATTTTGGCATGGACTCTAGGATTCTTGATTCCACTATTTTTTGAGGATAAGCCCCATCTTCCCAGGTGACTGACAATCCAAGCAGGCAAAGAGAATGTTTTCTATTTCTTTGTATCAACCCTGAAACCTAACCTGGCACTAGGCACAAGATGGACTCTCAGAATGCTTGTTTGGCACATGGAACAAAGCGAGGTAGCAAGAAGGGAAGTGCTGGCACCATCTTGGCTCCTTAGGAAGGGCAAGGGCTGAGATTTGCACTTGGACATTTGTCACTCTGTGTGGACACACAGTATATGTGCACTTGGACAGACAGTAAGTGTGGCTGGCTGCCCATGGGGTCAATGGTTTCCACCTTTAAGCCTTGGTCAACAATTTAGTTGACCTTTCCTAGCTCTATATCCTAAAGAAGGAAGGCATGTTGCTAATCATTGAGAAACTCCATAAACAGGATCTGCATTCAAGAATTTCCGATATCCTTGCTTTCATACATGCTAACTGTGCCTGGGATTCTCTGGAAGCATAAAGCTTTCTCGGGAGCGGGGGGAGGTTTGTAAGTGCAGAAGTACTTGCTGTCAAAAGGGAAGCATCTAGGTTTTGTCTGTATCCTGAACCACACTGGGATTTCGTGTAAAATGATAGAGTCAATCCCAACATTCAACTCTCAAGGCCCTAGCAAAAGCAGAGATGTCAGGAGGTGGCAATTTCGTTCTACAGCTGGTTTGCCACAAAGGACCTGGAGTCATCTGGGAGGCAGCATGGTACCAAGGGTCATAAACACAGGCTTTGGAACCGATCCACCTGGCTTCATATCCCAGCTCACCAATTACCAAAGGACAAGTACCTTAGCCGCTTGGAGCCTCCATTTCCTCGTCCGTAAAATGAGGACAGTAGCATGTAATACCTCCCTCTCAGGATCACTGTGAGGCTTAACTGAGACAGTGTAAGAAAACCACCTAGCAAAGGCCCTGGCATACTCCTATTTAAGACAAAGCAGCTGAATGCTATGGAAAAGAAACAGGCGCCAGTTTCTCTGTCATATGACCCCACACACCTCCCTGTAATTTCTGTCCTTTCAGGAGTATAAAATTACGTGAGGACAGACCTCATCTTCACCTCCAACCAGCTGTTTACCCTTTGATTTAGCACAGCCCTGTGGCCATGAATAATTTTGGAGACTCTAAACTATCAAAATTCACAGACCACAATGAAAGTCTCCCTATACGGAGTCCAAAAAACCACCTAGAACTGAGGGTAAAATCCTATTTTGCAGGCTAATACCCAAGGTATTATCTTTCTTTGTCTCCCTGCTCCCCTAATACACCAATTATTAGAGAGGCTCACATCTTTCCTTACTCCCAGGAGGGCCTGGAGCTGCTAGCAATTCATGATGGGTGCAGACCACCTACCGTCTGTGTAGTCCTCCGACGTGAGGGATAAAAGGCTTTGTATGTCACTGTTCTCTGAATCCGGGGCTTCTTTGTGTGCCAGTTGGCTGTTCCCTGAGCCGGCCACCCAGGAAGAGGTGGTTGCCTGATGCACCATCACAGTCTCTGAGCCCCGGGAGCCCCAGGCTTCACACAGTCCAGACTGGCCCGGGGCCTCCTCCTCTCCACCTGCAGAGGAGCAAGCCCCCTGGTCCTGTAGCTGCTGCTCCCGTGGCCCATTCCTCCCACTAGGCCCCGACCCCTCTGACAGCACAATCTGTACTCTGGGGTCAGCGGGCGGCACGCAGTGACCGGAACTGCCATACACAGCCTCCTCATATGACGGTAGTGCAACCTGGACTCCATCCACCATGATGGAGACCTGGTCCCCAGATACCCCCTGGTCACGCCTGCATCCGGAGGAGGAAAAGACAAAGGAAGAATTAAAATACACAGACAAATAAATACCATAATATTGTACTAACAACACTAACCATTTTTGAGTATTTACTATGCGCCTGACACAGCACTAAGTGCTTTATATACTTTATCGCACTGAATTCTCACCTGAGCCCTTTCAGGTAGAGCTTCACCAACAATGCAGATGAGGCTCAGAGAAGTTAAATAACTTGCTCACAGTCAAGAGCTAGTAAGGGAGGAAGCTGGGATTTAAATCCAGTTCCACCTGCTTCCAGAAACTATGTTCTTTACCTCTGGGTACACAGGCATCTAGCCCTCTGGTCCTGTGCAAACTGGGAACCTAGAAATAAAGCCATTCATTCAGCACAGCTAGAATAAGAAGTGAGAAAAAGATGGCTGCTACCTGTGACTATAACTAAAAACGACTGTCTGTATGCGTAAATGAGTATAGTGAATGATGTGTAAACTATATCTCCATGCCCAGCCGGCGTGGCTCAGTGGTTGAGCCACCTGTGAAGCAGGAGGTCATGGTTTGATTCCTGGTCAAGGCACATGCCCCAGTTGTGAACTCAATCCCCAGTGTGGGGTGTGCAGGAGGTAACCAATCATTGATTCTCATCATTGATGTTTCTACCTCTCCCCCTCTCCCTACCTCTCTGAAATCAATAAAACTATATTTTTTATATATATATATACACACACATATATATACATACACACACACACACACACACACACACACACATATATATATACATATATATATATATACCCATAAAGTGGTTTTTATCTATTTTATTTATTTTACTCAACATTACGTTTGTGAGATTTGTTCATGCAGACACTTTTTGGGGGATCACTTGTTATGAATATACGCACATACACACTTTTTAAGAAAAATCTGAACCATTTTGAAAGTTGAAGACATTATTCAGTACACACCTCCTAAGAACCTTGTCTCCTATATACAATTATCATTACATCCCAGAAGTCTGACATTGGTATAATACTGTAACATGAATTTCCCCATAAATATATCCATTTCAGCTGTTGTTTGTTTTCATCCAGGACCCGTTTAAGGATCATGCACTGCATTTAACTGCCCTGTCTCTCTTCTTTTCTCCTTTAATCTAGAACAGTTCCCTGCAGCTTTTCTTTCATGACAATTTTTTTTTTTCTAGACTCCAGGCCAGCTGTCTCCTAGAATGTCCCACATTCTGGACTTGTCTAATTGTTTCTCTGGGATTATGTGCAGGCCAATTTTTTTTACTGGAACACAACATAGGTGATGTGTCCTCCTCAGTGCATTACAACTGGAGACGTATGGTCTATGGCTGGACAGCATTATTACTAGACTATTATTAGTTCTCAATTTCTTCATCTGTACTTGGAGATAAAATCTGTGCTACTCAATTCAAATAGAGTACACAATGTAAGGATGACAGAAGTGGCACTCATAAATCCTCTTTATTCTACTAACTGCTTAACAACCTTTAAAAATAGTGGTTAGACCATCAGCCCATGCACTGAAGGCTCGAAGGTTCGATTTCCAGTCAAGGGCACATACCTCAGTTGCGGGTTCGCTTCCTACCCCATCAGGGCACATGCAGGAGGCAATCAGTCAATGTGTCTCTCTCACATCAACAATTCTCTCTCTCTCTACCGCCCCCCTCCACTCTCTCTGAAAAGCAATGGAAAAAACATCCTTGTGTGAGGATTAAAAAAAAAAGCTGCTATGCCCACCTGCCGCCCCAACTAAACAAAATAAAAAGAAAACCACATACAGTACACAAAGGTTAAACTGAGCCTGGTCCTTGTCTGTAAATTCCAAATCAGAAGCATTTTATTTAAAGCAGTTTAGCCTGTTCTTTCATTCATTTAGCCTGTGAGTGACAACAGTGACTGATGAAGGGCTTGAATGAATAGAAACTGTTCCCGAGAGAGGGAATGAGCTACTGCAGAGGCCATGACAGCCTGGGAGAGAAGTCCATCCTAAGGGATCCACTTGGGGCCACTCCTCACCATTGGCCAGCCTCTCCCCAACCACACCCACCCAATCTGGAATGTGGCTAATGCACTCAACTGGAAAAAGTCAGAAAGAAAACACCTCCTGTTTTAGTTTGGTATAGTGCACTGGTTCCAAGTCCTTGCTGCACATTGGAACCCACTTAGGAACTTTGTAAGACACTAGTGCCAGATTCCCACTCCAAACCAAATAAATCAGAATGGCTGGGGCAGGGGCCCAGGTGTTGGTATGTTTTCAACTCCGAGCAGGAGTCTCTATGTGCAGCCAGGATTGGGAACCAGGTATATTGGGCAGTGACTTGTAAATATGAGCCTGCATCAAACCACCTGGAGGGAGTGTGGAACCCTGGCATTGAGCCTCAACCCCAGAGTTTCCAACAGTTGGTCTGGGGTGGGAACTGAAAATTTGCATTCCTAAAAGTTCCCAGATGACACTGATGCTGCTGGACCCACACTTTGAGAAACACTGATGTAAGAAAAAGGGCATGGTTTTGGCGTTGGACATATATGAGTTCAAATCTCAGCTCTGTCATCATCTAGAGCAGCGGTTGCCAACCGAGGTCCGTAGACCAGTGGTGGTCCTTGAGGTCCGAAAGGTTGGCAACCACTGGTTTAAGGAAACCTTTGCAGCAGCGGTCGCCAAACGGTGGTCTGTGGACCAGTGGTGGTCCACAAGGCCCGAAAGGCTGGCAACCGCTGATCTAGAGCAAGCATGTCAAATTCATGGCTGGCGGGCCGCAAGTTTGACATGCTTGTTCTAGGGATGACCTCGAGTAAATGACTTAACCTCTCTGAGCTTCAGTTTCCTTATCTGCAATGCTCCTGTGAAAAATTTTTGAAACAATTTATTGGGGTTACATTGGTTGATAAAATTATATAGGTTTAAGGTGTACAATTGTATAATATGTCATCTGTATATTGTACAGTGGGTTCATCCTATGAGGATTAAGATAACGTATGCAAAGCAACAAGCACAGTGTCAGGCACATCAGCAGATGACAGAGCCCTCCCCTTCCCTGGGCACATACAGGCCAGCAGGCAGACATGCCAGCCAAAGGCCAGTCCCACAGTGATGCCTGCCGCCCGTGCTCACCTGCTATGATGGAACGACTTCAGCTTTGGCTGCAGCAACACAAACAGCACCACGAGGAGGAGAATGAGTGCCACGGAGCTGGCGGTGGAAGCCACGATGGATAGTGTGGGGACCCCAAATGATGTCTTGGTGTCTTTCTCTACAGAAACAAGCCATCATCAGAAGAGATTTGTATCCAGACAAATACAACATGAGCCCCACAGCTGATCTTATCAAAGGCCCCCTACATGGTGCTGTGCAGAGACATATGTTGGCCAAGGACATTTTTAGGAGTAACAGTGCAAAACAGTTTATACACACAAGAAAAGGGATCCTCTCCCTATCCTGTTCCTGAATCTAATATTCCCTTCACTGTGGGCCTTGGAGGACCATCTGACACCTCAACTCACTCACCTAGAGATCTTACCTTTTTAACCACTTCTGTTACTGTCCCCAGTAGTCAGCTGGTAGACAGCAACCATTTAAATGAACACATCAGTCCACCATTTTAAGTCCCATCTATCTTTTTCCCTATGTGGCAGAAAAATTTTAAGAACTGGGCTATAATAACCTTCCCCTGTTCTAAGATCATGCAGTTTTAGTTGTTAACTCTCAGGCTGGTTCCCACCCTTCTCTGGGATGTGACGGCCTCAGAGCCCGAGTTGAAGCACAAAGATGGCTGTACACTTTCCTGCAGGCAGCTGGATTTTCCCGTCATGCATGACAGGAGGTGGGGGAGGTCTTCTGTCTAGCTGGACTATAGCTCCATAACAAAACAGTTCATTACCATTCCAAAATAATAATATAAAAGAGACACTATAGAAGGTGTTAGCATGGTGCTCATGTGTTAGCAGAACACGGTCAAAGGTCACCAGCACTTGGCTAGGCAAACAAAAGATCAGGAGCATCAAAGCGATCTTACACAGCAGAACAGATGCCTCAGCAAAGCTACTGAGCCCCTTGGTGGCTCAGATGAACCACAGTGGGACACACACGAGCAACCCCAAAGGGAGTCTGCAGGGCATCAAAGGGCTCATACTGCCCCAAGCACAGGATGCTCAGGAAGAAGTGGGCACCACTTCCCTTGAGTTAAAAGAAAACAGAACCCCTTTCTCATCTGCCAAACTGACCCTCGTTAAGATGGCAGCTAATCTCCATGGCTGGTTTCCATTCACCATTCTTACACGTCAGGTATTTGTAATCGCCCTTTAGCACGTAGCCTTCAGCACACAGGTACTCGATGACACTGCCTGAGTTCAAGGGGTCTCTGCAGGGCCGGGGGTGGCAAACGTAGCCACCATTCTCTGGCTCCGGGGGCAGGGAACACACTGCAAAGACAAAGAGAGAGTGAGAAATAGTGGTGAGGTTTTCCAGTGGGAGTCCTCTCAGTGACTCAGAGGATAGTTCCAAAGGCTCCAACAAGAAACACAGGAGTATAGAGCCACTGTCTTGGAGAGGCTGTTGGCCCAATGTGGAAATGCAGGTTGCCACTGAGAGAGTGAAGGGCGCTGGCAATGATTTTAGTTTGGCTGATTCCAACACTCCTCTCCCCACTGTTCCCACAAGTGAATGGTAGACTCTGACGAAGTCCTGAACTTACAGAGATCTAGCACATAATAAGGCTTTAATAACACCTGCTGAAACACACAATGAATCAGTGAAAGGTGGTAAAAAAAACTTCTTAACTTGCATGGGGGGAAATGTTAGCCTTATTTCCAGTATCAATACCATTGTATAATAAAAATGTGCCTTCTCGCCTGGCTGGTGTGGCTCAGTGGTTGAGCACTGAACTATGAACCAGGAGATCACAGTTCGATTCCCACTCAGGGCACATGCCCAGGTTGTGGGCTTGATCCTCAGGGTGGGGTGTGCAGGAGGCAGCTGATGAATGATTCTCTCTCATCATTGATGTTGCTATCTCTCTCCCTTACTCTCTGAAATCAATACAAATATATTAATTAAAAATATAGCCTTCTCAGTGGCAGAGGGGATTTCTAATGGATTTCCTGGGAGCACCTCCCACTTCCTGACTATAATAGGCATCACTTGTCTCCAGCCCATAGTAAATCTTACATTTTTTTTGTTGGGGTAAGACTGTCTAGTTTTAAAAGCACCTTCCACAATATAATATACAAATGATATATTATAGAATTCCATACTTAAGACCTATGTAATTTTTTTAAATTTATTTTTTATTATTATTATTTTTTATTTCTTAAAGTATTACAAAGAGTATTACACATGTCTCCTTCCCCCCCTCCCCCCTTGACATTCCCCCGGCCTCCCCCACCCCCCAGTGTCTTATGTCCATTGGTTACTCTCATATGCATGCATACAAGTCCTTTGGTTGATCTCCTCCCCGCCCCCTTCCCCCCAGGCTTCCCACAGTAGTTTGACAGTCTGCTCAATGCTGCTCTGCCTCTGTATCCATTTTTGTTCATCAGTCTATAATGGTCCTTATTATCCGTAAATGAGTGAGTTCATGTGGTATTTTTCTCAGCTTCCCAGGGGCCGTCCCAGCCTCACAGGGGCCGTCCCGGCCTCGCCGGGGCCATCTCAACCTCACTGGGGCCTATTCAACCTCACCAGGGCCGTTTCAACCTCACCGGGGCCGTTTCAACATCACCGGGGCCGTCTCGACCTAGACCTATGTAATTTTATTAACCAATGTAATCCCAATAAATTCAATAAATTATTTTAAAAAAAACAAAAGCACATTCACATCCTATCTTACTCGTTCTGACAACTCCATGAAGGATTCGTTCTGACATCCCCTTTGAAGATGAGGACAGCGAGGCCCACAAAAGTTAAATAACTTTTAGCCAAGTGTATGCAGATTAAATAGCAGACCTGGAAGCAGAGTCAAGTCTTCTGGTTCTAAAACCTGTGCTCTTTACACCAGCAGACACTACTTCTGCCCCATTAGCTGAGTGGGCCTTTAAGAAGTGTCAAGTGTATCATTCAAACACTGGGAACCCCAGTGTAGAGAAGTTGCAGTAATGATCAGTCAGAGGAGCTGGAAGGTGGGAGGTCTGAGCAGCCTGGAGGGGAGATTCCATGGCCTGCCCTTCTGACCCTGGACAGACACCAAGAACTGAAATCCCAGGAAGTGGATTAAGTGGTGTACTTAGCCAAAATAGGAGGGGCACAGTGTGGGCACTAAGGGATCATTGTTTGGAAGACTAAGCTGGGGGAGAAGACCCACTGGCCGAATGGCCAGGCACCCACAAACTTCAACTTTCCAAAGCCTTACTAATGTAAGAAAGATAAAAGTTTCCAAAGGACATTCAATTTTGCTAACACCCTGCCCCCTATTCTGAATACCACAAGGACATCAGTATTGAGAACAGGAACTGTGGGTTTCTTGTTTTGTTTTGTTTTTTTCACTTCCTCTAACAGACATAGAGTCTCTCTGTCTGTCCCAGATATGGCGCTCTCCCATTCAGAGGCCCACCCACTACTCTCTTACTCAGAGGTGCCCTTACAGCCTCTCACCAAATACCACTTCCCGTCAACCTACAAAATGCTCTTAAGCAAGCTGACTGTTGGTGAGGATAGAGGATGGCTCCCTGCTCTCTAGTTGCTTATCACTAAGATGGGGGAAAACTTCATTTTAAAAGAGCTGTTACTAAAACAAAGCTGGGATAGGTGCCACAGGGATCAGGAGGAGAAGTCTGAAACTATGAGATGAGTCCACTAGGAGATGGGTCCCCATGTCTCCTCGGTCCCCTCTAAGGACACACCTTCCCCAGACTGTTTCCAAGCCACCAGGATGCAGACAGACACCAAACACTCCTTCTGGTGCCTCTTTAAACTTCAGCCAAATAGTTCAAAGAGCTGGCCAGCTACATTTCCAAAGAAACTTCAGCAAACTGCTTCACCCTTTAACCCTTTTGTTCAGGCAACAAGCCTGCCACACAGATGTCTCCAGCTCTCCTCTGACTGTGTCTAATTGGTTCATTTTCTCAGCATAATTAATGCAGAGCATCCCTGAAGCAGGCAAGACCCCCACACAGGTCAAGTGTGTTGGGAAGGTGGTCTCCAGGGAAGAGCTGATTCTAAAGCCACTCCTGCTTTGCTGGGAATTTATGCTCTTAAAGCCCATATCTTCACAGGATCTTTGAGTGAGATCCTGAAGGTCATCTAGCACTCATTTTCATAAGTAAAAAAGTGAGGTCTACAAAGAAGTGACTTGCAATTCAATTTCATTTCAATTCAACTAATATTTATTGATTACTGTGTAGGGGTCATTGTGCTATGCTCTGAAACAGGATAAAAACATAAGGACTTCGCCCAGCCAGTGTAGTTCAATTGATTGAGTGTCATCCCATGCACCAAGAGGTCACCAGCTTCATTCCTGGTCAGGGTACATTCCCAGGTTGCAGGCTCGGTAGGGGGCATGCAGGAGGCATATAACCGATGTTTCTCTCTCAATGATGTTTCTATCTCTCTCCCTTCCTCTTTCTCTAAAAAAAAAATCAATAAAAATATTTTTTTTTAAAACCACATAAGCACTTCAGATACTTGTAAGTCAAATAGGGATATGACAAATAATTACATACATATATTTTGAAAGTCATTTTCTTTATAGCTCCCGAGTTTTGTGTCTTAAGGACACTTTCCTTACTCTGAGGTTATAAAAATATTATCCAGAACTTATAGATTGGATCTTTGTTATGCAAATAATACCTTTACAGGGGGGAAACACACAGTAAGAATATATACATAGTATAAAATTTAAAAACTAAGATGAGTGTAGAGTCAAAAGTTAGCTCTTCTCCTGTCTCCTAGTCACTCAGTTCCTCTCTCCAAAGGCACTGGATGAGTATCCTTCCAAAGATATTCTACACACAGATTTATTCCAAGACATATCAAAGAATGTGAATGGTGCCACAAGAGAGGGAGCTCAAAGCAGGAGAGATCACATCTTGTGTGGGAGAGATGAGAAAAGGCAGCATTTCAAATGGGGCTTTATTTTCTTGGGAAAGGAGGTGGTAGTTTGAAGCAAGTTCACTGATCTCGGAAAGTGTAGCTGTTAAGCCCAGCCAACATCAAGTAGCCCACATTAGCTGGGTTGGATAATAAAAAAATGGGACCCCCAAAAATGTGAAGAGCAATGAAACCATCTTGAAGAGGGCCTTGATGGCAACAGATGTCCACACTGTATTAAAAAGAAAAGGGGAGCCTCTGCAGGGTCTTGAGAAAGGCAGAGTTATAAGAGGAGCTGAATTTGATATAAGATGGACCAGAGGTAGAGACAGCCTTTACAGTAAGTCAACAGGATAGCTACCCTATTAGGGTAAAATAAATAGTACGAAAGTTCTTTTATGGTCATACAAAGAAAACAAGAGTATATGAAGTTCACCATCACAAAAAGGCTGTCCCAGGTCCAAGGAAGGAAATAAAGAGGACTCAAGAATTTTTTTTAAAGTATTTCAAGACAACAAGAACCTAAGGGGGGGAGGGGATGGCCCCCTTGCCAATTCAAAGAGCAGAGTGGGAGTCTTGGCAAAGGGCAGGTGTTGGAGCAGGCCCCCACAGTGATGCCTGGGATTAACAGGAAAGGGAAGATCAGGCATAGCAAATAAATCACTGAGTGGCTTCCTGAAGCTACTGTTTTGGGCAAGAAGCTGACTTAATCTGAGCATCAGGCTCACTCTCTGACAACCCTGGTCCGCAGAGGGAGTTTCAAGCTCTGTTGTTAACCTCAAGAAGACAATGAACTCATCTGATTTGGCAAAGCTGCATAATTTTGAAAAGAGAGTGAGAAAGCCAGAAGATAGAAATTTTACAGAAAAAAATAAAAATCAATTCTCCTTACTTAGCTTTCTTCTCTGCTTTACATTATCTCTCGCAATCACTTAGGCTTCCAGTGAGCACAGGAAGCAACGAGATAATGCTTCAAGGGGGCCTGGCAGTGTGCCTGACGCACAGCAGTCATTCAGTGACAGACCATCCAGCCACTGGTGAGGTGAGTGTGCAGACAGAAGAGAAGCAAAATGATCCGCAGATACTTCTACCTCAATGTCTCTGCAGCCTCAAACTCTCAACAGAGATCAATAAGAACAACCCTCAATCTGCTCTTCAACGTTTTTTGCATTTGTTGTTTTGGAGACCAGCTTTTTTAGGAGGAAGAGGCAAATTAAAAGAGAACAAACCTTCATAAGATTACATAAAAAGCAAATCAAGCCCTAGCTGGTTTGGCTCAGTGGATAGAGCATCAGCCTGTGGACTAAAAGGTCCCAGGTTCGATTCTGGTCAGGGGCACATGCCCGGGTTGAGGGCTCAATCCCTAGTAGGGGGCGTGCAGGAGGCAGCTGATCAATGA